CGAGCGGATTGTACTTCCACTCCACCCATAGTCCCGTGCGTGGACCGAGGGTCGGCCCTTCGAGGCGCTGCATCACCTCGCCGTAGGGCCGCTGCACCCGGGCGACTTTGAGTTCTTTGTGAACCAGCGAATCCCGGACATGCTGGAGACGCTCGACGCTATCGTTTGCCACCGCCGCGGCGCGAACGCGAAGCGAAAGGGCGAGAAGGAAAGGCGGAAGATAATGAAAACGTCAAGGACGCGGATCGTTGGGCAGCACTCTTGCTTTCACCAGTCGCTGCTTCTCGTCACCCGAGATCATGAGACCGTGCTCGCCGACTTTGGTCGCGTAACCCTCAGGCAGGCGCATCACGGCTTCGTGTACGTGCGTCTCGCGCGCCGCTCCCCGTCCTCGTCGCTCGCGTCCAGGTGTCCGTACCGAACATTGTGCAGAACGTCCGAGTGGAACAGCCAATTGTCCGGCGCGCGCTCTCGACCCGCAGGCTGTCGAGCTCCTGGTCGTCGATATAGATCCTGCCGGACCAAGGCACGTAAAAGCCACAGAACATGAGTACGATCGTGGCTTGCCGCAGCCCGACGAACCGAAGAGCGCAACCTTCATGCCAGCAGGAATCGTGAAATTCAGGTCGCTGAGGATCGGCCGGTCAGAGTGAAGTGCAAATCGCACATTCTCGAGCTGGATGGGGCCTCCCTTGAGCTCAAGCGGCTTCGCGCCTGGTTTGTCCTGGAGGTACCGTTACGCTCAGTTCTGATGCAATCGTTGTGCCTGTAGGCGTACCTTGGGTGGTTGATTCTGAGTTCGCATGCTGAATGGGAATCTCGAGATCCATCGAGCTTGGTCTCGTCTCGCGGTAGATAGTGTCAAGGAAGTTCAGAGGAAGCGACAACTAGAACAGAAGCTGATTAATCATGACAAGATCACAGACGGTCATCGTTCCTGCAAGTATTGCGTGAATATTATTTTATGAGGTGCTTGTGGAGGAACTTACCCTTCAGCGCGCCTTGTGTTGCGAGGAGCATCATGGCGGTCAATGCACTAGAAAAGATAATATTCTGTCCGGAGTTGAGGTACACCAGTGATGTCGCAATCTTCAAATCAGCCTCCTCGTATAATTCCAGATGCTTGTCATGCTACCCAACCTCGTAATTCTCGCCCTTGAAATGCTAAAATGTCCAAATCAGAGTCAATTCCACGCTCAATGCGCGGCACGCTCACCTTGATGGCCTGGTAGTTGATTACTGAATCTACAGCAATAGTAGCGGCCTTGCTATCCGCAGCGCTAGCCTCCCATCGAAATCATGTCCTATCCAGCTTCTGTCAGGTCTCTAAAGCGCGCCTTGAGCTTCGCGACTTACCTCCGCGCAGCTGTACGCACTGCATACCAAGTATATGCGCCCATCGTGACCATCATAATCGCAGCAAAATTTCGCCCAAAGTTATACGTCTCTATGATATGGGCGTTAGTATGACACATGTTGGTGGCGAAACAGACATGCCAAGATACGCACACGAGCGAGAACTCGAATGTTGTAGGTACGATGCGAAATATAGTTGCGTGTAGGATGGACGTGATACCCTTGCAGAGTAGCGTGAGTACGAAGGAAGGAACGTGAGTAATACAACGCACCCAATCCCCTCGCCGATAGCTCTCGTGGGGCCTCCAGTTTGCCGAGACCGATGAAACTTGAGGTCAAAATTGATGTTGAGGAGATGCTCGAAAGTTTTACGTGGCACTGCGGGTAGCACATTGACCGACGCTTGCAAACTCAGCGTTCAAGAGTTCCCCGAATAGTGTCGCAGCGCCGTCTGAAGACCAGTTGACAAGACTCTGTCGAAACGAGCTGTTCCCACTTACAGCTTGATATCAGGGAGCTGGAAAACAACCCATACTGTCGTTGAGATATTCAGAAAGTCTACGATGTTCTTGAAAAGTAGCGAGTCTGAACGTTAAGCACTTAGTCAATCGTCAACTCGAGACATGCCGATGCTGTGAAAGTCTGCCAGCCGCGAGGCCAGCGGAGAACTTTTATCGGCCACTGTCGTCTCAGCGATGAGTGGATCGTCTGCAGGAGTAAGAGTCGGGGTTCGCGCAAGTGTGGGCGAACATGGTGAAGGCAGCGCCGCGACATTTCTTTGTGGATGTTATCTGATAAGATTACGAACATTGTATGGAAAGACCGAGATAAGATGCCCTACTAGACGCCATAAGGACCGTTCGTGTCTCTTGCTGAATCGTGCAGGACTCTCTCTTCTCCACTCGGCTCTCTGGCCGCATCGAGAGTCCCAGCCGGCACTACTCTACGTTCCAAGCGTAGCATAACTCTCGGAGTTGCATCATGACCACCTTCGCCGCCCTCTTTCCTACCCGGCTTCGAAAGCTTTGCCCGCGCACCATCTGCATCCTGCCAACGCTACGCTGCTCCTACCTCCCATGTCCCGCCATCCACGCTGAAACTCACCAAGCTCTGCCATTGGGATCTCCTGTTGTAGAGAGCCTCCCAGAGCTGCGAACGCTCGAGAATATGTGGTGTCTGAGGCCTACTCGAGCTCCAATCACTTACTCGACGGCATACTCCCAGCTTGGCCGACCGCAGAACTAAGGCTTCGTGTCGGACATCGTCTCCATGAGGTCCGTCCTTGCTTCTCATATATTGGCTAGTAACGCTCGTTCGACATCGGCGTGCTGGCGTCGCGGGAGTGCGCCGACACAGCTTTCTAGTTCATATCCGAGTCTCTTGAGAGCCTGACGTTCACGATCGCCTGGGGAGTCAAAGGCGGGCGTGGAGGATTGCTTAGATGTAGACGGAGCTGGTAACCGCGCCCAAGTTCGCGCTCGAAGCACCGAAGTTGAGACCACGCTCCAATATCTGCGCGCGCATTCTATCGGCGCAGAAGAATTGTGTGCTCAAAGCATTATGTTAGTCCCCTTCTCGAGTATACGTCAGTTCTCGCTGAATCTCGATCCCAGATGCCAATGTGCCTCGTGCTGCATATATGCGGCCGCCTCCGTCGCTAGCCTGGCCTCGGGCGAAAACCGCGCTCTACCATGACTTTGGGATACGGCTGCGACAAACTCTCGAGATGTTCGTACAAAAATCTCGAGACATCACAATTTCCCAATGCTTAATTGCTTAGTCGTACAGAGCATGACATTCGACATAGCTCCCTGACCCACCACCGTTGGCCATCCTCGGTGTCTCGGGCCACGGCCAAGGGCGCCGGGACGCAGAGGCTCCGGGGCTC